TTCCCAAACCTTTACCTTGTCATCCAGTCAAAATCCAAAAGCCCTAACTAGACAACTAGACACCTCTCAACTTTCCTTCCCACCCCGGCACCAAGCCTAATGTAAAAGGAGCCTGCTCTATTCGCCGCGGGGCATGAACACATTTCAAAACTCATTCAGATTCCTTTTCAGGGAGGGGGCTGGGTTAAATCAAGTCCCAAAGCATTTTTCACTCGTAGCTCTCAGGCCATTCTCCATTTCCCCAACAACCATTCACTTTAACTTTGCTCGAAATCTGCCCGGCACAAGGATTGCCTACCGCGAAGACAGCCGACCTAGATGCCTCTCCAGGCTGCAAAGGCGCCCTGGACAGCTTCCGTCCAGTTCCCGTGTTTTCATGGCTGGGATGGGCCGGCGCGAAGGCCCTTTCCCCTGAAGTTCTTTCCCTCCTATATCTGTTCTTGAACAGATTCTTCCCGAGAATATTTTTGGTTTTGGGTACGTGATACCCAAGACCCCCACCCCCCACGTCACGCAGCTGTTTAGAACAAAACAGTCCCGCGGTGCTTGACCGCGCAGAGCTGCCGAGCTTGTCGCTTCAGGGCCGGTTGAGGACGGCCAATGGGCAGAGGTCGGTGACCCGGCTCCGTGGGGACACAGCTGGTCCCGGGACCGCCCTCGGCCAGGCTCCTCCGGACTGCGACGTCTCGGGAGCGACCCCGGGCTGTGTCTCTCGTACGCAACAAGGGCGCCACACTCTGGAAACCGTAAGCCTGAAAGAGGGCTCCGACCGCACAGCCCCGCACAGCCCAGGGAGGCTGCCCGGGAGGGGCTCCGTGTGCCCCCTCAGGGCCTCCACAAGTTTCCAAAGAAGCGCAACGTCTTCTCTGGAGTCTCCTGTTGCCCTCCCTAGTGGGAGTAGCAATATGGCCTTCCCGGGCACGTCCCTCTCTTCGCCTCGTCCCTTCCCGCACCGCCGTCTCCTCCCAGGCCCCTTATAAGACCTCCCGGCCTAGGACAGAAAGAAACGGCCACTCACAGCTTCACTACATTTTCCACCACAGCCGCCATCTTCCCTGCTCCTCTCCCTCAGGCCCTGAGGCCCGGAGCCCACAGCGCGCAGGCGCCGGGACCTAACGGGGGACCCAGTTTCCTAGTCCCTCTGCGCAGGCGCCGCCCGAGCGCGCACCCTCGAGAGCGAGCGACGGAGAACGAGCTTCCAGCCTGCGCGCTGGGGCCAGGGAGCCGAGGAGCCCGACGCGCAGGCGCGACGGACGTGGGCCCGCGCCCCCAGCCCCCAGCCCCCG